TACTCAGAATGATCTGATAATGAATTTATAGATGTCACATAAAATGAAAACTTTATTTCCTCCAAACAGTAAGTAAGGGTGTTAAAGTGGACTTGAGCATAGGCACAAGGGGGAGTTTCTTCACATTTTATCATAGAGTTAAGATTTTGAGTCGTTAACATACATGGAAATCCTTATTTCCTTATCATCTTGTTAATTTACGTCAAAGAATTAGCTTTAAAATAGGTCTTGATATCATGCTTCTACACCACACCACATTCAATATAATGGGATATAACAGATTTTTATGTCTTGAAGTGATAAGAAAGTACATACTTACCAACTTTGAATCCAAAAAGACCAGTTATTTTTGGGGTGAGAAACGTCTATGAAGCATCTGCCCTAACCATACCACTAGCTAAGTATCGTAGCTCAAGGTATTAAGCTGTCTTAATCTATGAAATTTGCTGAGGCAATTGTATCCACCAGAATAAACTTCATCGAATTTCCCCAGGGAAAAAGAGTGTAGCATATATCATAAAGTATCTTAATTCTCTTTATCTACTAGAAGTTCCAACAACACACTAAAAAATATTGGCTTAATAATGCCCCCAAAATATTTATTTTTATCAAAAAAAGAGTGTGATAAATTACAACTCTTTATTATAGAAGAGATATACCAAGCCTAACCTTCTGCATTGGCCTATCTCATTCCATATTGGAATACAAAAAGTTATCACCTTTCTGGGTGTGTCACATCATGGAGTCACTAAGGCAAAAGATCTTAGAAGTTTTTGGTATACTGATGTGGCTCTGGGCTAGACCCACAAGTTCTGGTGAACAGCTCATTTTTACTCATATTAAAACAGTTCAAAATAACACTTTTTAGGTTCTAGAGGCAGAATCCCCAATATGATTGTCAGTTGAACGCTAACGGACATAACCAAACCAGTCATACCCCTTAATAAGGGATTGTTCTGTTCCATGTGTGGGTACTCCAAATCATCAGGCTTAATAGATTTATGTTCTAATAAAATGCAAGGGCCTTTAATCCTTGGTGGACCACATATTCTGCCAAGGTTGACAAGGTTTTATCAAAAACCTCATCTATCTATAAATGCATGGGTGCTGTTTTTTAAAGCAGTATTTATAAAAGTCCCACAGGAGAAAACTTGTAGCTAAAAGTAAGAATTTCTGCTATCAGTTGGAGTGAGAAATTTCTCAAGGAATATGGCAATCGCATGATTTGAGTTGGCAGGCAGAGCCCACCATACCTGAGCATTCATTACCCTAAATATAAGGTTAATCAGAGAAATGATAATTTTAACAATCTCAGACCAAGATGGGACATGGGTATAACTTCAAAATTTATATAATAAGATACTTGAGAGCATTTTTATTGACTGAGAGTGAATAACTCATAGAATGTTTGGAATAGAGATGAAGCTGGTCCCCAAGCATCCAGAAGACGTTTCAAACCTTATGCAACTTCCAACGTTTTGCCTGAGTTTTAAGGACTATAAATACCCACTTAGCCGCACTGGGTGAAAGTTGATGCAGCGAGTGCTGTAAGGGGGAAACAAGGACTTTTTATGTTTAAACTTGTAGAAGCTTTAGAAGAAATAGAAGTTATCAACTGCTTAATTTCATAAAGTATTTTTGGGATGTTTTAAAGAAATTAAAGGAGGGTCACAAATAGTCTGAAAACACCAACTATTAACAGAAAGGTAGGACCCTCTAGTTGGATATGGCAAAGAAAACGCCAATATGAAAACCAATTAAAGCAAATAAAACCACACTTATGTAACATATAGACTGTGTTGGATGGCAACACACCCAGTTCCCACCCATATGGAGTCCTACATGAAATTTGTTCATGCAAGTAAAACAAGTGGTTGATTGTCTAATGTGAAGAGAGTCTGTAACTCTCCAGTTCCTGGAGAGCTAACTTGGGTAATCCAAAACCAAGTACCTGATGAACGCGCTACTAAAATAGAGAAACCAAGACATTTCAACTGGTGCAAATACCTAGATAACTCAAGGAGTATATATATATGATATAAAATGCCAAATGGCCTAAGAAGGAGATGACTTGGTTGGACTTCCAGGAGAAGTTTGTGGCAAATTGCTATTTAGGTTCTAGACACTTCAGAGCTATAATTGGAAATAATCTAGACTCCACTAATAGATTAGTCAATTTAGCATACAATATGGAAAGTATAAAATTAACAGGCTAAAGGTTTATTCGATAGAAATTTTAACAGATATATATATATATATATATATATATAATGGAAAGACAATCAACAAGGAAGTTGGCCTGATAGCAAAAAAATAAGGTAGAATGGGGGGATGGGTCACGCTTGTTTTGCCTTGACACAAAGCCAATTTTAATTAATGAAATTAGATAACCATTAGTGGTATTGGTATAACTAGAATATAATCAAACATAGATTTAAGATTGGTGGTTTATTTTTCCTTTTAAATTTTATTCGAGGTGGGCCGACCTGGGGACGGTACCGCACCGATTAGGGAAGTGAAGAAAATGGGAAAGGAGGGTAAAACCCGGAAAACCTCCATGCGCGGCGTATGATAGGCCAGGAACTCCATGGACTGCCTTTGCTATTCGCTATCTCGGTTCGGGGCATTGGCGCGCAAAACCAACACAGTCAAAATCGTCCCCTACCCAAAGTCAATTACCGGGATCGAACTCGGGAGGCAGTGGTAGAGGGTCCATACTCTACCACTGGGGTATCCTCCCTGGTGGTTTATATTTCCTAATTTGGTAATTTTATACTTCGAATACTGTTGAAAGCCACATTTTAGAAATTATTCAACTTTACCCATTTTTGTTGTTGATGCAACTATTAATATTCAATATTATTGATAGAACGCTAATTACCTCATCATATGACCCTTTAACATCAACCTGGGCATGCTTAGCTTTTACTCAACGTAATTCTAGTATAAGTTTAAGATAAGAGAGGGCAGAAAAGTTAATATTTTGGCCTAGAAATATCCACCTTGTTCCTATAGTTTATGCCATCAATTATGTCATGAGACATTACATCATTTATACCTGTTTATTAAAGGTAAACTATTATGTTTTAAGCTGAATAAAGCAATATAATAATCTGAGATCATCTGTAAGTATAAGACACTTTGTATTAACTGAAAATCAGTCAGTTCATTCTCTTGATTATCTTAAGCTTAATATTATATGAACATGAGTAAGTTGACTATATCTTATAAATTTCAAATTTTATTCGAGGTGGGCCGACCTGGGGACGATACCGCACCGATGAGGGGAAGTGAAGAAAATGGGAAAGGAGGATAAAACCCGGAAAACCTCTATGCGCGGCGTATGATAGGCCAGGAACTCCATGGATCGCCTTTGCTATTCGCTATCTCGGTTCGGGGCATTGGTGCGCAACACCAACACAGTCATAATCGTCCCCTACCCAAAGTCCATTACCGGGATCGAACTCGGGAGGCAGCGGTAGAGGTCCCTATTGAATATATCTTTTTTTTAGAACTAGATGGTCCCTATTGACTATATCTTATAGTATGTTTAATAAAGCAAACTAGTAGCTTGATTATATTGTAATCAATAAAAATAGCAAATTTAAACTACTTTATTATTGAATCAAAGGTAATTATACTTTTTAGTTTTTATTTTAGGTTTATTTATATTCATTTTCATTTATATTTGCCTATTAATGAGTAGGCCAATATTCATGTATATAATTACCTATTGAAATGAGGTGCATATACTAACTTAGACTTAAATCTTTTTTGTTTTTATATTGCATCTTCTCGCACCAATGCCCCGAACCGAGATAGCGAATAGCAAAGGCGGTCCATGGAGTTCCTGGCCTATCATACGCCGCGTATGGAGGTTTTCCGGATTTTATCCTCCTTTCCCATTAATTCGAATCCCCTTCAGCATTTATCGGTGCGGTATCGTCCCCTGGTCGGCCCACCTCGAATAAAATACATCTTATATTGCATCTTCTACAATAAATCAATTCTAGCAATACTTATTATAAAACCATTCTTATTAACTAAGATAAAAAGTAAACTTTTATTTAAAGCTTCTATATTTTTATACTTTATTTTAGTAAAAACTAGAGTTACAAGTAGTAGTTGTGCTGATATTTTGTGTTATATAAGCTTAACTGTATATATAAGGATATGTGTGCTATACTTTTCTTCTTAAACTTTTAAGTTAACAAGAATATGAAAGAAATTGTCCCAGTTTACTAAATTATTGTTATCTTAAACTTAGACTTGGATCATAATTGTTTTTAATTAGTTAACATATATAAAGAAGCTTGATAAGAAAAAATTGTCTTAGTATCGAATTACTTATTATCCAGTTGCAAATGCAACATCAACACTTAGTCTAAATGGCTCAATGCAACCATTGAAACAGTCCTCAGGCAGGTTGGGACCATCTAGTACTAAAAAAAAGAAACAGTCCTCAGGCAGTGAAAATGCAAGTTTGATTGGAAACTCTCAATAGAATCACATAATAATATATTATCTATAAAAAAAACTCAAAAAAATTCGTTATAAAAAATAGGAGGATTGTCATAAAGTCAAAAATAGATTGAAAATATATTTGACAAATATATACTTTGTTTTGCATTGTATTCATTTTTATGTGAGGATCTTTTTGACCCCAACAACATATATATCTGTGTTCATTTTTTCAAGTTGATCAGTTATTAAAACATTATCGTTTTCAAAGTAAAGTTGTTAATCAGTATTGAATTTCTTCATTTCTTTTTTTAGCACTAGGTGTTTCTTCACCTCATTTACTTAAGTTTCTCTCTATTGACTCGATTTTTCAGGTTTGTGCCTAAAACCCCACTGTGCCAGAGAACCACAACTAAATACAATATCTGATAATGATATAATCAAGGTCCTAAAAACCCTCAAATAAAAAACATGTTTATAGTGACAATAATGGATTAACTTTTAGCAATGATATGATATTGCTTTGTATATATAAAAATTGAACAAAGTGAGATTCGAACGCACGACTCAGAAGAGAACAAGGCCTTAAGTTGCGCCTTAGACCGACTAGGCCATCTGTCCTGAATATTTTCGGGAATTCTATAAATTAGAAGATACTAAAAAACTAAAAAACTAAGAACAATTTTTATTTTTAATTCGACTTCGAAAAAGGAGAGGTCTCAATTTGACCTGCATATTTTTCTACGTTTGTTCGCACAGTACTCCGAAAACTACTGGACCAATGTGAATGAATTCTTTGGAAGAGGGTGCTCCCATGGTGGTCCCATTCCAATTTTATAATTGGTCCTGTCTTTGACCAGTAATTTAAGTTTGATGTGTATATATCTTATGGCTAGGGATAAGTAAAAAACCTGAGGTATGAAATGATATCATACCATGATGAGCATATAGTATTGTAGATAGTCATTAATAGGTTTACTATGTAGTAATTGAACCATACAAATCAACTAAATAAATAGGTTAAATAAAGTATTGTAGATGGTCATTAGTAAGTTTAATATTTAATTAAGCTCATTGATCAACTAAAAATGATTTAAAAGCTTTACCTTATGGTAAAAAGATTAAGTACATTAACCATCTAGTACTAAAAAAGACTAAGTGCATTATATATGTCTTTCAACCACTAGATAAATGACCATTATTATGGGTAAAGTCTAACAGATTGTTCATACTGTGTCAATGTTTTACCTTTATGGAAGGTAAATTACATTATCATGCTATTTTGGACTTTACTAAGTAAATGGTGCTTTATCTTTTTCAGATTGTATGAGGGTATGTTAAGTAATAAAGTAAATAATAAAAAATCCAAATATAAATTTAATGAGCAGGACTAATGTTTAACCTAGGTTAATTATGACTGAAGTAGACTATATAGTTTTGCTTCTGTAAATGATCAATATTATAGGTGAAGACCCCATTGGTGCAAGTAATGTCATGTGTTGTAGAGATTGCTAAATAATTATTGAGATGGAGATGCCAATATATTTACAGGAACTCTAAAATCTTTTTACTAATATCTGACTTTAAATCAATATTTATATTAGCATTGAAAATTAATTGTTTTTATAGTAATCATACTTGGCAATCCCATTGTTTAAGACAGCAATTCTTGGACTGTATGTCATCATGTTCAAATCAAAGAATTCTTGTATTTTCTTTATATCTGAGTTGAGGGTTATTATACATTTAGCAGTATGGCACGCTCATCAATGATCAAACCTGCATGGCACAAATTATCACCTACAGCATCATGTGCTGTTGCCATTCGTTTAAATTGCATTATAGAATCTTTATACTTGATATACTATATTCAGTTGCCTGCAAATCTGAGTCTTCATTTTCATTATATTGCAACATCACCAGCTTGTACTGTTTCATTTGAATTGTGACACCAGATTATACAGGTAGATATATATATTTGTCATTTCTAATATAAGTTTTTGAGAGAGTCATAATTTTAAATTGAGAGAGTACTGAATCAGTGGATATATTAAAACCTTGATCCTATAAGATCTACACATTAAATGTTATAAGTGATAGAGCTGTTGGACTATGTACAATTATTTCTGGAATTATCTTAACTTGTTGCTGATTTTTTACAACATGTGATTTCTAAGATGATTAAACTCAGTACTCAGTTCAATGTTACCTTTACCATAAGCATGATGGAATGTATGATCACCTTCATTGTTTTTAAGTAAAAACATTATAGTGATATGGCTCTTGAAATAGCAGCATAGACTAACAATTGCTCATGAGTGCGGTCATATTCATATATAACCAAATCATATGTACCACCTCATATTTTTGTATTGTTATTGTAATTTTGCAAGAAATTATGATAAGCAGGTGCTATGAAGGCTACAAAATTATTAGTTCCATGGCTCTAGCAATGCTTTGCTCAATTGCAACGAAGTTATTAGTTTCGTTGCTATAGTTAATTCAATTGTAAATACAGAATCCTGTATGAAAAGAGACCAAAATTATGCTAGTTAAGACAAAAATCGTGGTAGTCTATCAGTTAGAAATGAGGGATATTTATAGGGGTAGATTTAGTATGTATGCGTGAGGAATTTCAAGGTGCCCCTAAGGGAAGATCTTTCCTATTAAATGATTGATATTGCTGATTATTAAGGCCATACTTGTGATGGCTAGATTTGATAATATTCTTATTTAATGAGTATGATCCTCTTATATGATTTTTGGCCTCATCAGATATCTTAACATCATCCTTCAGAGAAGGTTGATAACTCCAAAGGGTTGATTATTGGTCCAAACTAGAATTGGATATCTCCAACACAGATTTTAAAATCTTATTAAACCAAGATATCAAATCTCAATCCAGAGTAAATTCAGTCATCATAGATGAATCCACAACAATGCCCCCTTCAAGATCTTGCCTAGGGGGCACAAATTTACGCAGAAACTACTATGCACTCTATTGATAACAGTACCAGTACCAACAGAGGCAATGGAGTATTCAATACTCCGATAATAATTAAAACAATATGGACCAGCCCATAAGGTGTCTAGTTTGTGAATCCTTCCTCCTGGCCTATGGTGATAGAAGAGTACCATATCCCTGACTTGGTATTCTGGTAGCTTAGATCTACTAGTGTTGGTTCTTGTTCCCTACTTTAAGGTGGTAGCAGAAAGGGAACTTGAAGCTAAAGCTTGTAATTAAATGATTTTATCAAAGAGTCTCCTCATAGCTAAATCAGTATTTTGCGGGGTAGCTTCCTCAAGTATAGGTTGTACACTTGATGGGAGGATAGGATCCCGACCATATAAAGCTTTAAAAGGAGACATTCCAATTATATGATGATAGCTAACTCTATAATCTAACATCTCACTAGGCATGTAGAGATTCCATCTACTAGGGTCATTGGAAGCCATCTTTCAAAGAATGGCTATAAGGGTGTCATTTTCTCGTTCAACTGCACCATTAGTAGAAGGATTATTTGGGGACGCTGAATGACTGATAAGTACCCATTAACTTAGTAAGCTCTGATACCACCTGAGAAATGAAGTTGGTCCCATTATCTGATAACAGGACTTTTGGGCTACCATTTCTGGTGAAAACTTACTTGAAAAGAAAGGACGCAGTAGCCTTTGAAGTGACCGTGGAAACTGAGATAGCTTTAATCCATTTAGTAAAATGGTCAATAGCTAACAGAATATATTGATGCCCATAAGTGGCAGTAGGGAGAGGATCCACCACATTGATACTCATATTAGAGAAAGATTTGGAAGGGCCCACAATTTTGTGTTGAAACATCAGATTTCCACCACGTTGTTGTTGGCATGTAAGACAAGACTCCAACACATCGTGTACAGATTCCAGCATGTTATCCCAATAACAATGAGTTTTCAACCAATGTAGGATCTTAGCAACAGCTCTATGACCTACAGTTTGGTGGGCCTCCATAATAGTATCAGTCCTTGCAGAGGGCCAAATAAAGGGAAACCATTTAGAGCCCAAATTTTTGTATAGTGAACCTTCTTTAACCTGAGTATCTTTGGTTAAGGATTGTAACTTTGAGATAACATCCTTAGATTCCCGGTACCAGAGCTCAGGCCTACCAATCAAGTCAAAAATGCGATTCCCTTCAGCAGAAAATAACGTTAGGATAGGCAATTGAGAAAGTCCATCAGCATTTTGATGAATAGCGCCAGCGCAATGTTGAATAGTAAAGTCATAATTTTAGAGCTTTAGAGCCCATCTAGCTAAACGCCCATCTGGATCCTTCATTTGTTGCAACCACTTCAGGGAAGCGTGATCCGTGACTATAGTGAAATGCTTGCCATAGAGGTAAGGGCAGAAATGCTTGATGGCAGACAAGACAGCAAGGCATTCTCTCTTGGTAACACTATAATTGCGTTTGGCCTTGGAAAGGGTTTTAATATAATATGCGATGGGATGATCAACTAAGTTAGTATCATGTTGAGCTAGAATTGCTCCAATAGCAATATCACTGGCATCGGTAAATAGTATAAAAGGTTTGGAAAAGTCAGGATGGGCTAAGACTGGGGCACTCATTAAAGCTTGGCGCAACAGATCAAAAGCTTGCTGCTGCAATTCTTCCCATACAAAAGGAACTTCCTTGTGCAAAAGGTAAACTAAAGGCTCCGCAATTTCTGCAAAATGAGGGATGAATTGTCAGTAATAACCAAACATCCTAAAAACACTTGAATATCATGCAAGCTTTTAGGAACAGGCATGTCCAAAATAGCTTGTATCTTATTAGATAAGGGTAAAATCCCCTCACAATTAACTTTATGACCTAAGAATTCCATCTCAGTCTTAAAAAAGACACACTTGGATGGTTTTAGCTTAATCAAAGCGTGACACATCTGACCAAAAAACTTCCTTTAAATGAGCCAAATGCTCATTAAAAGTGTGAGAAAACACAGTAACATCATCTAAATATATAAAACACAAGAAAGTTTCAAATCTCCAAACAAGCCATCCATGGCTCATTGAAAAGTGGCAGGGGCATTACAAAGCCCCTGCGGCATATGAGTGGGCTCAAATAACCCCTCACTAGAGATTAAAGCACATTTTTGACGATCTTCCAGAGCTAGGTCAATTTGCCAATAACCACTCGCAAGGTCCATAGCTGAGAAGTATTGTGACCCAGACAATAATCTCAATGAATCATTGATGTGAGGTAGAGGATAAGAATCCTTTTGTGTAACAGCATTGAGCCAATGATAGTCCATAACCACTCTATGGCCCCCATATTTTTTTGAATGAGTAGTAAAGGAGAAGCCCATGGACTCTTAGAAGGCGTTAACAGCCCTGCATCAAGGAGTTGTTTCAATTCCAATGAGACCTGAGCCTCTTCCACTTTAGATTTATGATATGGTCGAGCTCAAATAGGGGGAGTATCACCAGTTTTCACCTGATGCTGCACATCTTTCATTAGTCCAAAATCTCCAGAACCTTGGGCAAATATATCCGCATATTCTTCAATCAGAGCCTCAGCTTCATGCTGTTGTTCTGGAGTGAGAGAATCCCCAAATTTGACATCAATTCTAGCAACAATAGGGGGGTCTTC